TGTCCCCAGCGGTGACCGAGGCCCTGCTGGCCCCTGGCACCGTGCCTGGGGGTGTCACTGTCCCCAGGGGTGACATTGTCATTGTCATCGTCCCCAGCGGTGACCGAGGCCCTGCTGGCCCCTGGCGCCGTGCCTGGGGGTGTCATTGTCCCCAAGGGTGACATTGTCATTGTCATTGTCATTGTCCCCAGCGGTGACCGAGGCCCTGCTGGCCCCTGGCGCCGTGCCCGGGGGTGTCATTGTCCCCAGGGGTGACATTGTCATTGTCCCCAGCGGTGACCGAGGCCCTGCTGGCCCCTGGCACCGTGCCTGGGGGTGTCATTGTCCGCAGGGGTGACATTNGGTGTCATTGTCCGCAGGGGTGACATTGTCATTGTCCCCAGCGGTGACCGAGGCCCTGCTGGCCCCTGGCACCGTGCCTGGGGGTGTCATTGTCCCCAGGGGTGACATTGTCATTGTCCCCAGCGGTGACCGAGGCCCTGCTGGCCCCTGGCGCCGTGCCCGGGGGTGTCATTGTCCCCACGGGTGACATTGTCATTGTCATTGTCACTGTCATTGTCCCTGTCACTGTCCCTGTCCCCAGCGGTGACCGAGGCCCTGCTGGCCCCTGGCGCCGTGCCTGGGGTGTCACTGTCCCCACGGGTGACATTGTCATTGTCCCCAGCGGTGACCGAGGCCCTGCTGGCCCCTGGCGCCGTGCCCGGCTGCTCGGGCACGCGGAACCTGCGGGACAACCTGGCCGACCTGCGGGCGCAGGTGGCGGCGAACCAGAAGGGGATCGGGCTGGTGCGGGAGCTGATCGGGCAGCACGGGCTGGAGGCCGTGCAGGCCTACATGGGGCACGTGCAGGTCAGACCCAAAAATACCCCAAAATACCCCAAAAATACCCTAAAAACCCCAAATCCCCCCCAAATCCCCAAATCCCCAGTGCCCTGTGCCCTGGAGCTGATCGGGCAGCACGGGCTGGAGGCCGTGCAGGCCTACATGGGGCACGTGCAGGTCAGACCCAAAAATACCCCAAAATACCCCAAATACACCCCAAAACCACCAAAAACCCCAAATCCCCCCCAAATCCCCCCCAAATCCCCAAATCCCCAGTGCCCTGTGCCCTGGAGCTGATCGGGCAGCACGGGCTGGAGGCTGTGCAGGCCTACATGGGGCACGTGCAGGTCAGACCCAAAAATACCCCAAAAATACTCCAAAAATACCCCAAATACACCCCAAAACCACCAAAAACCCCAAATTCCCCCCAAATGCTCCCCAAATCCCCAAATCCCCCGTCCCCTGTGCCCCGGGCTGGAGGCCGTGCAGGCCTACATGGGGCACGTGCAGGTCAGACCCTAAAAACCCCAAATACACCCCAAATATACCATAAAACCACCAAAAACCCCAAATCCTCCCCAAAACCCCAAATCCCCAGTGCCCTGTGCCCCGGGCTGGAGGCCGTGCAGGCCTACATGGGGCACGTGCAGGTAAGACCCTAAAAACCCCAAATACACCCCAAATACACCCCAAAACAGCTGAGAGCCCCCAAAACCACCCTAAACCCCCAAATCCCCCCAAAACCCCGAACACACCCCAAATCAAACAGCTGAGAGACCCCAAGAACCCCAAAAATCCCAAATACACCTGAGAGAGCCCAAAACCCCCCAAACTCATCCCAAAAAGACCAGAAACCCCAAATACACCTGAGAGAGCCCAAAACTGCCCCGGGAACCCTGAAATGCCCCTGTGACCCCGTGTGACCCCGTGACCCCCTGTGACCCCTGTGTGACCCCGTGTGACCCCGTGTGACCCTGTGTGACTCCGTGTGACCCCGTGACCCCCTTGTGACCCCTGT